ATTCTGCTACGAACTATTTTGCGATAACCATGACCATCTCAATTTATAGATTTTCTTCCAATTTTGTTCGCCTCATTCTCCCTAGTTATTGAATAGCTATGCGCCCTTCCATATGTTACGTGGTCTTTTCCCTTAGTTGGGAATTCATCCTGCTCGCCTCTCGACACTTGTTGGGATATCCGTGGAAAAGTGTGTTCATCCGTGTATCACTTAACAATTCCTTGATTGTAAGATTCTTAAGAGACTCTCCATCAAGTACCTATGCACTCTTGGGTTATTATAACATCACATTTATCTTTCCCACTCGTTCTGTCTTTCTTAAAGCCTTAGAGGTTTATCTAAATCACAAATCTGTGATTAACTCATTCTAAAAACTCGCAACCTTTCACATTTGACCTATATTACTTCCTTGGGTTCCATTGTTCCTGACCCCCTAACAAGTATAAAATCCGTTTGTAAACATACTCTTAGTTTCTAGGATCGTTGACCCTGTCATTCATATTGCCATGTATGAAGAATTTACCTTCATTAACCTTCCACCTTTTTGGAGTACTAGTGGTCTATCATTAGCATATCCTTTCAGAGAATCATGCTACCCATTATCTCTTTCCTAGACTAACCTGTCTTTCAACAAAATATTCAAACATCATAGCTACATGGTCTTACTCTTGTTTCATTGTATTTAAGTGGCCTCTCTATGTCCCTTCTTCCCCCACTTGGGGTGAATGATTCACATTTTGACACAAGTCTTGAATTTAGCAACTTCAGGGATATATGTCTCATGTCTCTATCCCTCATATATATGTTCGACTATTAGGAAGATTTAAGTCACCATGGTATTAACCTCATACGTTTTTTACTCTTATTCAGCCACATAGGCTTGGGATCCAACTCCCTCATGTCAATATCCTTTTTGGAGTGTAATTACTGTTGAGTTTTAAATGTTGAATTGGAAAGTATGCCTACCTTATATTGTTGGAAATTACTGTAATTGGACTTAGCTGTGAAACTCGTCATTATCTTCAGTTCTTTATTTAGTATTGTTACTTGCTGAGTTGGTTGTACTCATACTACACCCTGCACCTCGTGTGCAGATCCAGGTACCTCCGGTCATAGTTATTCAGAGCTTTATCTGCGGAGACTATCGAGATAGCTGCTTGGCGTCCGCAGAACTTGACTCTCTTTCCTTTTAGTTATTTGTATTGTTCTATATTTCCAGACAGTGTTCTATCCGTCAGACTATGTTATTATTTAGATGCTCATGTACTCAGTGACACCGGATTTTGGGAGTGTTTTATGTCGGTATTAATGAGATTTTGTATTGACCTTAAATATTATATTTTTAAACTTAAAAGAAATTGTGGTTTATTGAGGTTGTCAGCTTGCCTAGTATCGAGATAGGCGCCATCATGACTGGTGAGATTTTGGGTCGTGACAAGTTGGTATCAGAGCCTAGGTTACATAGGTCTCACGAGTCATGAGCATGTTTAGTAGAGGTTGTAAATATAGAAGAATGGACCCTCCAAATTCCAGACCATGCTAGGCACGCTCTGTAGCGAGCTACAGACCAGGCTTCGCGAGCTCTGTAGCAATCTACATACCAGGCTTCGCGAGGGATATAGCATGGTCTAGCACGCTATAGACCTGGCTTCGCGAGATATATAGCACGGTCTAGTGCGCTACAAACCTGGCTTCGCGAGGTATATAACACGGTCTATCGCACTACAGATCTGGCTTCGCGAGGTCGAAATGATTCAACTCCCCAATGCATTGTTCAACCCAAAAGTCCGAAAATATAATACAAACTTAGTCGAGGCCTCATACCACGTCAAACAATATCGAAATTACGAATCGCGCATCGAATCGAATTATGAGTTTTCAAATCTTCCAACTTCTATATTTTGGGCTGAAATATATCAAATCAAGTCCGATTGATCTCAAATTTTGCATACAAGTCATAAACAACATAACAGACCTATAAAAATTTTCAGAACTGGATTTCGACCCCGATATCAAAAAGTCAACTCCCCGGTCAAACTACCAAACTTAAATTTCTCATTTTCGTCATTTCAAGCCTAATTTAGCTACGGACCTCAAAATTAATATCCGGACACACTCCTAAGTCCGAAATCATCATACGGAGCTATTAGAATCATTAAAATTCTATTTCGGGGTCGTTTACATATATTTCATTATCCGGACAATTATTTCAACTTAACCTTTCATCTTTAAAACTAAGTGTCTCAATTCATTCTGAAACCTCACCGGACCCGAACCAATTACCCCGACAAGTCATATAACAACTGTAAAGCATAAAATGAGCAGTAAATGAAGAAACGGGACTGAAATGCTCAAAATGACCGGCCGGGTCATTACAATAGTAGGGGGGATGTGACCAATGCAGTTCTACAAGTTTTTAGAACAGGAACACTGTTGAAACAAATAAACTCTACTATGATAACTTTGATACCCAAGGTAGTAGAACCTCAATTAGCAAGCCAGTTTAGGCCCATCTCTTGTTGTAATGTACTGTATAAGTGCATCTCTAAAATGATATGCGAGAGATTGAGGAAGACTCTAACTCACTTAATCTCTGATAACCAGGCTACTTTTGTAGAAAGGAGATCATTGGTCCACAATATTCTGATATGTCATGACCTCATGAGGCACTATAATAGGCAAACTTCTCCTAGGTGCCTAATGAAAATAGACTTAAAGAAAACCTATGATATGGTCAGGTCGGATTTCATATATGAAGCACTGAAGGGATATGTCTTCCCTGAATCCTTTACTCATTTGATTATGGAATGTATTACCTCAACAAAGTTCTATGTGAAAGTAAATGGAGAGGGATATGGGTATCTTGAGGGGAGGAGAGAACTAAGGCAAGGAGATCCCATATCTCCATTATTATTTGTTCTTGTAATGGAGTATCTATCAAGAATGTTGAAGAAGATGACTACACTGCCTGATTTTAAGTATCACCCTATGTGCAAAACACTCAAACTCACACACCTGGTGTTTGCAGATGATCTTATGATCTTTTGTAAAGGAGACAAAAGATCAATACAAAGAGTAATGTAAGCATTAGACCATTTTAGTAGTGTGACAGGTCTGGAAGCTAACACTGAGAAATCAAATATTTTCTTGGCTGGGGTGACTGATGAGGTGCAGGAGGAAATATTGAGCATGACAGGATTCATTATTGGGACTCTACCTATGAGATACCTTGGGTTGCCTCTATCATCAAAAAAATGGAGTAAAATGGAGTGTCACCAGCTAGTAGACAAGATCACAGATAGAATCACAAAGGCATACTCTAGGCAACTATCTTATGCTGGAAGATTGCAGGTAATCAATGCAGGTTTATTTTCCATTTACAACTTCAGGGGAGTTGTCTTTATACTGCCCCAAAGTATCCTTAAAGAGATAGACAAGAGGTGCAGAAATTACTTGTGGGGCAATTCAGTGGAGCAGAGGAAAGTAACATTGGTAGCATGGGAAAAGGTATGCAAGCCAAAGAAGTTTGGTGGTCTTAACCTCAAGGGATGCAAGAAATGGAATGACGCTTCAGTAGGTAAGCTACTGTGGCAATTGAATGACAAAAAAGACATGTTATGGGGAAATGGGTGCATGGGATTTATATAAAACAAGATGGAACCAATGGGGGCATACTCCACCACAAGACATCAGCTGGTATTGGAGGAAGCTAAATGCACTAAAAGGTAATATGGCAGAGTGGTATCAGAATGGAAGGTATACACTAACTACCAATGGAGAATATTCTGTGACAAGGAGCTATAATGCAATGATAATAGACTTAACCAAATTATAAGAAACTGACTTGATATGGACCAAGGCAATGATGCTAAGGCATAGGTTTATAGTATGGCTTGCATACCAAGATAGACTTCTTACGAAGGAAAGATTACAAGGCTGACCAAGGCAATGATACCAAGGCATAGATTTATAGTATGGCTTGCATACCAAGATAGACTTCTTACGAAGGAAAGATTACAAAGGCTGCATATTCAAGTTGATGATGGCATTTCTCAACTATGTAATATTGCAGCAAGAGAAACGCAAAAACACTTGTTCATGGAATGTTCTTGGGTTACAACAGTGAGGGATCAACTTAGCACATGGTCAGGTATACAATTAGGAGCAGAGGGGTGATTCAAAGACTGCACTGGTTGAAAAATAGGAAGTGGAAGCAGATGAAGAAGGAAGTGGCCTCAGCTATATGGGGAGCACTAATATACCATACATGGAATGCAAGAAATTGGAAATTTTTTTAGATCTTGTGGCAGCACAGATACAAAGAGAGATCAGAGGAAGGCCGGAAAACTTACAAACAATAAAGAAGGCGCAAAAATGTATTTCTTTGATTCAACATATCTGTAGATAGCATAGAGGACAAAATAGTGAGCTTTTTCGTTAGCTTTTCTTTCTGTCGGAATGTATTAGAAGGAGGATAAAGATGACAGGGGAGGTCCTTTTGGTTATATTAGTGTAACCTGAGATGCTCGTAGGCTGTATTAAACTGTTGGTTTGTTACGGTAATATATTCACATTTATTACCAAAAAAAAAGGTTTATTTTGAAAAAATTAATTTGCAAGTTATTTTTTGGTGTTTGGTCAAGTCCCTAACTCGATTTGACTTGTTTTGTCGAAAGCTAGTAACTTGAAGGTTTACGATAATAAGGTAACTTATACTAGTAGAAGAACTTGGAGATAATGGAAATAATTTTGAAAATTAAAGCTAGACATTCTATATCCTAATTGAAACAAATAACTTAAAGCAACAATTAAGATCATGTTATAACAAACTAACTTGCATCCATTAATGAAACAAGTCAGTTTCTCCAATTTAGTATAAAAATATATTTCTTTAGATTTACTTTTTTCATGAGCTAAGACTGAAAAAAATAACAATTCAAGGAAAACAATCTTTAGAAGAAATATTTTACCCGATACATATTTAAAAGAAAAAAAAGAAGAAAAAGAAAAAACTAAAGGCATGTAATGAATCGTGTGAATACAAACACAAGTTGCTTAAACATACGAAAATGATTATTCACTACTAACTCAATAACCAAAATGGCACCTAACAAAGACCAACATAAAACTACTACTTAAGCTATTACCAAGAAGCCTAAAGCAAAACGTAGTTTGCACCTAATACACGTGATTTATTACAAAAATCAAAAACTAATCAAAAATGTTATCGGATACCAAGTTGCAGCTCCAAGTACAATAAAAAGGGTAGCACGGTGCACAAGGCATCCCGCATTCATTTAGGGTCCGGGCACTGTAAGGGGTGTGATGTAGACGGTCTACTCTAATGCAAGCATCAGCGGCTGCTTCCACGGCTCGAACTCGTGACCTATAGGTTACACAGAGACAACTTTATTGTTGTTCCAAGGCTCCCTTGCGCAGGTCCAAGGACAATAGAGTAACAATAAAAAGAAAATGATAATCAGATGTGATATCTGTGACTACAACTATAGACTGCTTAACAAACAATTTGCTACTAACAAATCATGTTGATCTCTACCAAATTTGATGTCCTTGTCCTCCAATAAAGCTTTTAACTCCATGGTATCCACATTGGTATAAAATAACCTTTCTCTCTAGCAAGAATTCAGTCAAACCGTCATGGATAGATAGTGTGCTGCACTCTCTTTGCCTTATTTCACACTCTCGTATCATTCGAACGGGGAAGATATCACAAAAATCCTTTCCTAATCAAAGCAGTTGGAGAAAAATATCAAACTGGTCAACATCAAAACAACCATAACACATAAGTTGTTACTTAAATTACAATGAAAGCAACAGAGTAATCTTGCCGTTTGCTTAATTTTGGGAGAAGGGTGAAGTAATAGTAGTTGGGAGAGGGTAAGAGACACTCACCGGATAGAGTTAGTCTATTCATCCTCTGATTCTAGTTGCCCTCCAAATTTCCTCAATGCAAGAGAATATATTGCTTTTCGTTTCACCGACTTCCCATTTGCTACCAACTTGACGGCCTGTGATCAAATGATATCGTATAGGTCGTGAAGTTCAAGCTTCAAATCATATATAGACAATTGTTGCAAAGAAAAAAACAAACTCCAACTTCGGCGGTGGATGTCAATTTGTTGCTAAATATTATGAGTTCCGGTATCATTGTCAAGTATATATTTATATCATTCGAGTTATATCCACTTAATGATATTTAGTTCTCCTCCTTTCTGCTAAAGGGAAGAGCCTCGCAAAAAGGCAGTATAAAATAACTGTGCACGGTCATGCATGACTGAGCAGCAAAATCACTAATATCGGCTATATAGATTTAAATCATCAGGAAATTGAGAGAAAACAGAAAGTAATTACGATAGTTCGTTGATCATGAAGCCAAAAATTACAAGTATAAACAGAAGTATGAGGTTGAAGTTGGAAACAGATTAGCCATATCTGTAATAGCTACGTTTCCAGATAAACTTGAAAGGTGTTTTAGTTAAATCATTTACAACAAATTGATGTGACACAGCTTCCGAATCCTTAAGCAAGTGAATTTGCAGAAATGTCTCTTTCATGGACTTAACCACCAAATTTTGATGGTAAAATGTAACTAAAGTGAACACAAAAAGAATGGAAGGTAGGTGGAGAATTACTTATTAAACAAGACCATAGACTGCTGAAATTTAGTAAAGAAAATAGAAACACGGCAAAGTAGAATAAAGATCATGCTTAGAAAACAAAAAATAAGTCTACCAATATTAGGTGACCCACGAGAATTCCATTAACATCTCCAGAAAAGTTATTTCCATGCTGAAAACATCTTTTCAGTAATATCCAAGGCACCTCCTCAATAGATTTTAATTCAATACAAAATCATAGGGTACTGAAATTTCATTTAGAGTTAAAAATAAAATAGGAATAAGGCAAGGTAGAAAGAAAAGCCATGCTTACAGAACAAAAAAAAGTCTACCAAATATCTCCAGCAAAGTCATTTCTAAAGTGTCAGTGTTACTAAAGTAAACACACGAGAATTCCATTAACATCTCAAAAAAAGTTATTTCCATGCTGAAAACGTCTTTTCAGTAATATGCGAGGTGCCTCCTCAATAGATTTTAAATTCATTACACCAAATACAAAGTAATGAGTAGTCCTCAATTGTAGGTTTTCTGTTCTCAGATATAATAAAAGAGTGGAACCTCGATCTACTATAATCCTTCACAACCTACCTAGACGAAGAGAGCCAGCAAAAACACTGGTAAAACTTTAGCAGAAATAAGATTGGCCTAATAAATTTAAGAAAGTTGATCAAAATTATTATGCTATTAACTCCTTACTTCTCTTTATGAGATTTTCACGATAAGTGTGGTTGTAATCATAAATCTTTGTTAAACTACTATGTAAACACATCAGGAAAATTTCAACTTCTCTGCACAGAATCTGCATTTCGGGAAAAGATTAATACCATTGAAAGAGAATGTCCCTCCGAAATCAGCTCTCTCAACTCATTCTCCAGCTGGGACTCTGATGGACTCTCATCTATACTGATCGATTTGCCTTCAATCAAGAAAGTAATTTCGCCCTTCAGTTGGCGTGCCAAGAATGCCTCTTTGGCTTCGCCGATGGTGCCACGCCAAAACTAATCAATATAAAAACAAAAAAAATAAAAATTAAAGAGTAACATTTTGGACTAAGGTAATAAACGATCACAACGGATCACCATAATAACTGTGATATTAGAAAAGGGCAATTGGAAGGAAAAAAATATGAACAAAGAAGGTTATTGAATCAAGAAGCTCATTTTTTAGGTTCCACCTAAATAATGAGAAGGATTTTTATCCAATTGTCCGGAGACATGCACATTTAGCAGATGGTGTTAGCACAAACAACGTACACTTATGAAAACATCATAGCTTAATGACCACTACCCTTCATAGAAAAGGTAAATTAAGACGGAATTCCTCAATGTTCCTAAACACAACACTGTTTTCTTCCCCTTGTGCTTTTGCAATGAGTCACTTCTTGTCAATTGAGCAGCTCAAAAAGATTTATAAAATCACAAACTAGGTTGCAGCATCAGAAAGAAAGAATTCAAGGTACTTGAGGAGATACTTCGCTGATTTGAACATCAGTATTACTTCCAGTTTAGGAAGAAGTCGGGTGTACTTGATTCATAAAATCTCAAATACTTATTATTAAAAAAAAAAAAATTACAATCGTTTCGATGAATTTGTGCAATTCCTAAATTGACTGCTAGACTGGTTCAGCGAGACCATCAATGTTTGATATCTATAATGAGATTAGTCTCTTTTTTGAGGAGAGTAGTCCGCCCTCATTTCTGTATCTTCCAAATTATGTTTCCACTGTCAGTAGCTCTTCTATAATTCAAATCAATCTTATAAATAATACAAGCCAGTACTGATATACAACAAGAGAGTACACCAAAAACAAGAAAGCTAAACCTATTCACTTATTATGAACTATTTTTTAGTGTTGAAACATACAATATAAAGAAAGAAAATTCAGCCTGCTCTTCTTTCAAAAAAAACAAAGATTAACCCCTACCCCTCTTCGAAATATCCTTAAGCTCCCTTACCCCTCTTCCAGTTTAGACAGTTACTTAAGCACTACCATTTAAATCTAACAAGCATGATAATGAAAAAATGAAAACTTTCAGGGGATAGTAAGTTTAATTCGTATACAATTACCTCCTCATGAACTTTGGTCATCTCCCGAGCCATAACACACCCCCTACATGGAAGCATAAAATGTAAAATAGTAGCATGTAAAAGTAAAAAAACTGTAAAATTGGAACTTCGAATTCTCCTTCCCTCTTTCTCTTTTTATCTTTTTGTGAGAAGGGGGAAAGGGAGAGCTGGATGGGGTATGTTTACACCTCCTTCCCATCCCATGCAGAGGTTCCTCCACAAACTTAAGGTAGCAATTTTTAGAAAAGAAAATATTACGGCTAGAATAAATTTCTGAAATAGCAAAGAGGAACGAAAAGATTGCAACCCCTGATTCCCATGCCATGCAGCTAACCAGGATATGATGAGGATATTAAAATGAAAGCGTCAGTTCCTATTTGTTAGAAACATTGTCAGGAACACCCTTGGATTCGTGCATACCATAGTTGATTATGAAAACATGAACCATAGATATTTACCTACTCTCACCAAATATAGCAGCAGCCTCTTCAAGAAATTGAGAAAGCCTGTGAGGTGGAATGAAGAAAATCTGTGTGGCTGATTCATTTGCTGAAAGTATCAGCCTCTCTTTCCTCGAAGAATTATGCTTTGGAAGAAAACCAACTGCATAATGAGAAAATTCGTGAATCAGTTTTACCAGTATTTCACTAAATATTCTTGAAATTTCTAGTAACTAAAACACATAGTGTATCAGAGCATTACCAAATGTGAACTCATTAGTAGGTAAGCCAGAGGCCGAAAGAGCAGTTACCACAGCAGAAGGCCCAGGAATCGGAACAACAAGTACATTTTTATCCACGCACAGCTTAGCCTACATTTAAAAGATACATCATGTGCATATCTATCAAATAGACAAGATGTGGGCATGAAGCCTGAAAACCTCATTGCTGCTCTTTCCTCAAATATATAGAGAATGTTCAAGACAAACTACTTCACAACGGTATGTCACAATATTGGGTCCAATGGTACACAAACAACTACTATATTTCCCCTACGAAATAGCCTATAGAAACGGATATTCAATACAATCTGAAGAAAGGAACGAAAAATCCACAAGATTACTGACAAGGATATACTTGCTCACCAGTTCCATTCCAGGGTCACTGATGCCTGGTGTGCCAGCGTCGCTGATCAGGGCGACAATTTCACCATCTTGTAGTTTCCTCAGCACCATTTGTGCTCTTTGAGATTCATTGAACTTGTGATAACTAAGCTGAAACCTAAAGCTTATTGTTCGAGACAAACGAGCATTCTAATTGAAGCACCATGCATAACCCAAAAGTGACTTACAAGAGGAGTTTTAATGTTGTAATAGTGTAGCAATTTTCCAGAATGCCTTGTATCTTCAGAAAGAATCACATCTGCCGATTTCAAGACTCGCAAAGCCCTGAAAGCATCAGGGTTCACCAACAAGGCAGAGAATATAGAAAAAAGAAACAATCTTGACATCAGTGTTCAAGATTAGAGCTTCAAAACACCAACAACTAATTCATTCTTAAGCAGAAGCACTATCAATATTATATCAAATTGTTCAACTATAATATCCATGATAAAAAAGGGCAGCCCGGTGCACTAAGCTCCCGCTATGCGCGGGTCCGGGAAAGGGCCGGACTACAAGGGTCTATTGTACGTCGCCGGTAGCCTTACCCTGCATTTCTGCAAGAGGTTGTTTTCACGGCTCGAACTCGTGAGGCCAGACTTCCCGGTCACATGGCAACAACTTTACCCATCCGTTACGCCAAGGCTCCCCTTCATAATATCCAGGGGCAAAGCCATCTTTTATAAAGGGTGGTCAACTGACCACCCTCACCGAAATATTACGAAAAATTACATTGTGTATATAAATAACATATTAATTTTAGATGTATAAAATATATATTCAACGCCCTTTGTTGGAATTTTTTTTTTTGTTCTTTCAAGTCTGAACACCCTTAGAAACATTTCTGGCTTCGCCACTGATAATATCCATGATACTTGTATGTAAATTGTAAAACATAAAGAGAACCTCTAATGTAGAGAACTCATATTAGAATGAAACTAGGTCCAATTGAACAAAATCTGAGGATTCATATAGCGGACTTCGACTAGCTTGGGATTGAGACATAATGGTAGTTGATGTATAACATCCATGAAACTTTACAGGTGGAATGCTATTCATCTGATTTGTAACGTTTGGTTTGAACTTAGTGTGTGTGCGCAGCTATAATGCATAGTGCACGTCAAAGGCCAATACAAAAAAGGAGTTAAGTAAAGTATGCAAGTGATTTTATTACCTGAGAGTAATATCTTCAAGATTGCCAATTGGGGTTCCAACTAGATATAAACCTGGTTTCAAAGGACCCTAAAAACAAAAGGGAAATGTAATTAATTCACACTGGCACCACCCCTAAAATATTTAGAAGAAAAAAAGATTCTTTTTTTTATGAAATAAAGAAGACAAAAGTTAGCAACTTTACTTGCTTAGAATTTGATAGGTGATGCTGCAGTTCATCAGTAGTGGAGCTTTCTGCACTGTTAGTAGAGTAGAATGAAGTGGTGAGAATTGTGGGGACACTGGATATGGTGGTACAAAGAAGTGAAGGTGGGAAGTGGGGTCGCAACAATGGAAGACGACATCTCCTAAACTGCCGGTGAACTGGGCTGAAGACGGCGGAGGATAAAATAGACATGGGATTATAACGCCGTACCAGCATTCTTGATTCTGCTGTTTAACAATTCAGAGCCCTTTTGCCTCAAATTACTGACTTGAAATTTCAGGGGTTTCTATTATTAGAATTTTAAGAATCTGACTGCAATTCGAATAAAGTGTTTTAGTTTGTGATGAATCGCAATGAAATGTTAAGCTTTGAAGGCTTTTTAGTGAATTATCACTGCTTATTTGCCTTCAATTTTTGGACAAAATTATCAGTTTTTACTGAGTATCCTAACTCTAGATAAGAATTTGATTCATAATTTAATCCATAAATATGTCTATTTTTACTCATATGTTCAATGAAATGCGGGAAAAAAAGGAATTGTTCTCATGAGATTTATAACTATTTATGTGAAGAATTGGCATAATGTAAAATAGAATAGATAATTCTTATGCTGTATAAACTAAAACTATTACTAGTTACTAGTAAAAAAACAGAAATGTTTCCACCAATTTGGAACATTAACCCTCAAATGTGCCTTTAATTAGGAAGGTAAGTTTAAACAAAATTGGTTTTCATAGTTGGATATTTTTCTTTTTCAGGGAGCGGGGAGAAGGGATTCCTTACAATGTTAAAATTAAAAAAATATCTTTTTTTAAATCTCTTATATGTAAAAGTAAATCTCTCACGTGTTATAGAAAAAGATAGGGTCATAAAACCAAAAACCAAAAATAAGTTTGTAAAGATTATTAAGACAACATATATATCACAAAATTTATACTCCCTCCGTTCCAATTTATACGAACCTGTTTGACTGAGCATGGAGTTTAAGAAAAAATGAAGACTTTTGAAATTTGTGGTCCTAAACAATTCAAAAAGGGGCCAAGAGTATTTGTGTGGTTATAAAAGCTTCTCATTAAGGATAGAATTGTAAGTTTAAGCAAAGTTGTTTTCAAATTTAAAAAGGAGTCATTCTTTTTTAAACGGACTAAAAAGCAAATAGGTTCACCTAAAGTGAAATGGAGGTAGTAGTTTTTAATCTAAGTAATCTCTTGTGTTTAGGATTTGGTAAGATGTTATTCTTATATTGAACATAAAGAGTTTCAAATTTGAAGTTTTAAGCTTTTGGTTCAATACCTAAAGATGATAAATATTGGCTGCAGAGAATCAGGTACTGGAAAGTCATATTACACTTATAGTAAAACTCTTAACCCCAACTTATAATCAAGCAAATAAAGTTAGATTACATGGTACATCACATAAGATGGGTGAAAGGGTCAGCAATTTAAGGCCACACCCATTATAACATAAAACATAATATTCCAACATATGCTGCTGTCTCACATTTAAGCAGAAGCACTAATACTGCTATACAAGTAGGCTGCTTTACAGCAGCTTTCAAATATTGCTAAGCTCAATCAATGTAAGCTGGCAAATTCAGAATTGTCAGTTTTTTTTGTTCTAGTACTTGTTTTTATAAAACCAATTTCTCTTGCTTTTCGGAAAGGAAGAGAAGAACTTTTTCAGTTGGCATGAGAGTTGGAGTTTCTTGTGTTGCAGTCATATGTAGCTTGTGTAACTACACCTTATCGTCGTGGAACCACCATCTCGTCTCCTTGGGAGACCTGCCATTTTTGCAGTTCTTCACGTAGCGATCATTGTCCGCAGGACGTTGCTGTTCAAACAAGCAAGGTAAAATTGACCCCTCTACTCAAAAGGCTAAAAGTTCAAGAACAAATAAAGAGATGACAAACGTAAAATTCAATTGAAGTTTAAATGCTAACAGACCTTCTCAGTTGAGCTAGACAACATTGAGAGAATGCTGATGCAGATGGAACTAACAGTCATCGCGGGGGACCATGAATCATAAAGGATGTCTGCAAACATAAACAGTAAATGCTGAATCGCAAGTGTTACGATTTTTTTTTTTTTTTTTTTTTTTTTTTTTTTAATTTAAAA